TGTTCGCTAACATAAACGGTAGAGTATAATTTCTTAAAATTTCCCCCAACATTTGTGATGTTAGATTTCCCCACCTAATTCCAAAATGGATTTGAGATTGCTCACATCACTAGTGTTAGCATCTTTAACAGTTGCAGATTTTGAAAGAGGAAGCTAAGTATCCGGAAACCACACGGGCAGAAGGGGGAAGCTGTAGCGTGCCAGAGAGAGGGTGGAGGGGGTGGCTGAGTCCTGCTGGCAGCATCCTGCTGGCTGCCAGGGCGCCCTGGGGCCCTCCGGAGTCATCACGGGTAGCCTCTGGGCACCGGGAGCTTTCCCAAGGCCTGAGCAGCTTCAGGCCCCTGGCTGCTATGACTGCACAGAACTGCCTTCCAGGCCCTTTTCTGGGTAACTGCCTCTTCCAGCAGCCCCGTGCACTTCTCGGGGGACACACTTGCTGTAATTGCCCTGCTTCCTTTGTAGTCACCTGAGGGGGGAAAAACTTCTCAGGTTCTAGTACCTGGAATTGTTATTTCACTTAACCCTGGACAGAGGGGCCCTGTTTTGTGGCTTCTCATGGTTGCCTGAGCTAACTCTGGGCCACGGTTAGCAGATGTGATGCAGAGAGGCCTGACACGTGAGCTCCCTGGCTCAGCTGGCGAGGTCTCCTCTGCGTGCCCAGGGTGAGTGCTTGCTGTGGGCTCCAGGAGCTGCACGGGCCTCTCAGGTGCTGAGACTGCCTTCTCCCTTTGCGCAGACCTTCGGCTGTTTTCCACATATGGTTAAGTAGTCTGGAATCCTTTCTGTACTAAGGAAGAATATAAATATATATCTTATTGTCTGTCAGTCCCTACAGGGGAGAAACTAGATTCTCCTTGAGTCCACATTCAGAGGTCATTTGGTGAGTTCTTTCAAATGTATCACGGGAATCATCAGCCAACATAATGATAGATAGTGGCAGTTTGGGAAGAACTCACAGAAAATCTCCCTTTCACTTGTAAAAATTAATGTAACAAAATTTAGAAATTATGAAAAGGTAACCCATCTTTGTCCATTTTTCTTCCAGTTTTTGTCCACTGGATAGAGTAGCAAAATTTTTCGTTGTCAAGCCTGTTTATTTCTCTGGCTACTTCTTAGCTTAAAACTTTTCCCCCAGGTTAAAAGAAAAAGTTCTTTTCAAACTCTACCTACCCATTACAGAAAATTTAGAAAATGTACAAAACATGAAGAAAATTAAATCTCTGCTCCTCCCTCCCCAAATAACCACAGTAAGCACTTTGGGGCCATGTACATTTTACTTTTATTCCCTTAACAATCCACAGCTTGAGTGTTTTCCGTTACTTGCTTGCAAGACTTCTGGTATGCTAGGATATATGTCAGACGGTATATGCAGTTTTGCACAGAGAGGTATTTATATAGGGACCTTCAAATGACGCTATTAGAAGTTGGGGCCTTGACACTGCGTCCCACTCAGCAAAGCCTTTGCTGTCCAGCTGCATTTACTGAGCTGGTGTAGCGTGGGAGGGAAGCGTGGAAGCCCGCAGGAGTGGCTTACCAGGCCACTGGAAGCTTTGCTTTCTGGCTGGGACCTTCGCAGCTTTTCTGTGGTTTCAGTTAAGTGAGGCTCTTTGCTTCTGGTAACAAACCAGTTGATGGCAACGTTGACATTTGCTTATGAAAACTAAGGAACTCAACCAGCTTAGGTTAGATGGGGGAAGGAGGACCCGCAGGGGCATTTCCTTCTAAAGGCTTTGAAATTACTCACACACTTCCCCTTCTCAGGAAGGTGAATCATAATTTGTGTTCTAGAACTCTTTGACTTTGGAGCTTTGTACGCCCTACTTGGAAAGATCATCCTTCAAGATCTACAACAACTTCGCGTTGAGAGATTTCCCTCAAACCACCAGTCATTTAGAACAGAAAAGGGCAACGTGACATTTTTTTTTCCCCTGGAGTTACCTAAAAAGGAAAAGATAATAATTGGGTGGCATTACCATGAAACGGCAGAGAAGCTTTAAAGAACAGTTTGAGGTTAGATGTCTGTTTTTAAAATCAGTTGGTTTGTCTTCTTGGATGGATTACACCACGCAAGCCCACGCCGGCGTGAGTCGCGTGTGTGCCAGGCTGCGGTGGGTGGTGGCCCCTCTGCCTGGTGGGCACACTGGGCGGGCCGAGCGCAGCCTCCGCCCTGTGCGGAGCGGTGCTTCCAGTGAAACACCCTGAGGTTTGGTGTTCACTAGGCGTCCAGACTTGGGTTGCCTGACAGAATTCCACTATGTGGCTCGAGTGTCAGGTTTTTCATTTTTAGCCAGAAATGTAAGAAGTGGCCCTTTCTGTAAACTTCCCCTCCAGTTCAATCCACACTTTCCTGTCTCCCTTGTTTTTTTTTTTTTTTTTTCCTTTTGCTTGATTTGCAGACTCCTGACTTGCCTGATAAGTCACACTTAACTGCATACCAGGCTGACTTCAAAGCCACACTAAACCTTCCCAATAAACCTCCAAGGCAGGAACTTTATCATCCTCAGTCTATCCAGATAAGCTGAGTGTGGAGCCCTGAGGGGAGTTGGGGACTCAGCCCAGGGGCTGGGTGCCCCCCCCAGCTGTCTCTGGTCACCGTGTGGGTCCTCCCGTGGAAGGAAGGCGCTGTCTCACCCGCCCAGCCCCAGGCACTGCTGCGTCAGGGTTATTTTCTGGGACTGCCACTTTGGTATTACCTTGAACTTGTGCTTTTTTATTGACCTTGTTTTAGTTCAGAGGCAATTTGTTGTGTGCTGAAGTTGTTGATTTTATTCACTATCTCTAAAAAATTACTTGTAAGGTAAGACAGACTATTTAGCTTTAAATTATATTTCAGAATGGTATTTTGACTTCAGCGTGTCTGAGTTTTGCCTCTCGCTGCCTTCTCGCTGAGCCTCGCTGAAGCTGGTGCCCCTGCAGTAGGAGTGTGCACGCTCGGGCAGAGGAGCTGACCTTGCCGTCTCAGCACGTCTCAGCACGGCACACGCTGCAGCTGTCACCCCCGTGCCGGGGGCTGTTCTGTGCTCCGCGCTGAAATCATTCCACAGAGTTCCTGTGGAGTGCCGACAGAAATCCCATCTGCATAAGGATTCGGGGTCCTTGACTTGAGGGGACTCATGGCACAGCCTCCCCTTCACGACTGCTCAGTGCAGGACTCTGGTCCATTTAGGTCACAGGTGCGGAGGGCGGCGTTGGGCTCGCGTCCCCCCTGCTAAGGCGCACGCCTTTGGCGTCCTCCGAGGCATTTCCAGCTGCCGCATCCCGTGATGATGTGGCCACTGTTTTCTCTTTGTTGTGGTACATAAAACAATGGCGGTCTTACTGTCGACATCCTTGGTTTGATGGAAAGTGACACCTGTTGAATCCTTGGGCTTTTAAGTGCACGTTTGCAGAAAGTTGAGTCCCGTCAACTTTTTTCCTCTGCTCCGTTTGAAGTCACTTTATATTCCTTTAGTTGGGGAGGAAGAAAAGTAAAGCCAGTAATTATTTTTTTCAGTACTTGGTTGTGGGAATTTTAAAATAACAGAAATGATAAGCTCAGGCATTTTGCTTTGTGAGGTGAGGAAGGACGGGTGGAGGCGGGGCAGAGGGTGCGTCTCGCCCCCGGGTGCTGTTCTTGGAGTAGTTAGAACAGTAGATTTTGAGGTATGCATATTTTGTCTCACTCAGCTTCCCCCCCTCCCCCAATGTAATAGGAGGTCCCCTCAATATAGAGGAAATGTACACAGAATAAAAAGTGAAAGTCCTCGTTCTCCAGCCAGCAGCCCTGTGTCTCCCTGCCTCTGTGCCTCTTCCCCCAGATTGGCTATGTACATACATTCAGATCTTTCTGCATTTACGTGAAAGACACAGATGACTTTCACTGATCGCTCAGTCACTCTCTACTTTCATCACAGTGGTTAAGTAAAATAAAAGTGTTTTGGGGAGGCTCTGCGGGAATTGTGCTTTTTGATCTTTCTTCAGGCTAAATTAAATGTCTGTGTTTGTTCTTTAGGATGTGTTTCTGTCAGTCCTCTGCGTAAGTGCTTCCGTGGCTACACCCCTTCAGCTGTCCTCAGCGCCTCACGAGGCCGAGGAGACGCGCAGCATGGCCTCACCTCAGCCCCGCAGCAGCGGCACTGACCCTGTCTCCTTCCTGGTGACCTGTCTCCCCTCTGCCAGTGGGAGAGCGGTGACCTTGCAGCTTGCCCGGGCCACCGCGAACCTCCCCTCGGTGCCGTCCACCCTGGGGTTTCAGGGTGCTGCCTCCACTTCCCTCCGCTCCTTCATCAGGGTGGTTTTCACCACACAAAGGCCCCATCTCCACAGGCCCGCCAGGCCTCCGTCATCCCTTTTGCCCGGGACTCCGTCCTGGGTCCCTTTGGGCTCCTGCTGCTGAGCCCTGCTGTCTCGGCCTGGCGCGCTCCGCGGGAAGGCAGCTGGTCCTTTATCTCTGTTCTGCGGGTCCGTGCGCCTGTTCCGGACACTCGTCTGAGTTACCCTGTACGTGCGGGGAGCTGGCCTGATGCGTCGTCTCCTGACACTGGCTGCGCCCGTCAGGGAACGTGTTTGCCCGCCACTCCTTTCCTCCGGCCTAGCGGGTTGTTGGCACTTGATGAGCATTCGAAGAAAATGTTGAATAAACAATTTGATTCTTTTATTGTTGGTTTTATAGAGCAGAGGGGTTTGTAGGTGTGGAGTTGATAGTATCGTAAAATTAACCTGAGTACCGAGACCTTGGTGCCCTGGCAATTTGGTTTTGAGACATAGCCAAGACTTCGTTCCTCTAGAGATATTTTAACACCTCATTGTTCTTTTTTATTGGGGCTCCTTTGAGAATTAGTTTGGGCTTTGTGATACGTGATAACGAGGCTCCTGTTCAGAGGGAGCCAGCCAGCCGATCAGATAGCTTTTTATCGTTCTTTTGAAAATGTGGTGATTCACCCAGAGCAGATACGTGATTTTCTGGAAATACGAAGCTTGAAATAAGCTCTTATCTCATGGATGGTTTGTTTTAATTCCAGAACGTGGTCCAAGACGATTCCTGGGAAGGTCGAATTCTTCTCCAGTGAGGGTTCGGACACAGCCATCCCAATCCCGATTGTGCCACTACGGGGTGTAGACGACTCCTACCCCCCCCAGAAGAAATCTTTCATGATGCTCAAGTTCATGCATGACCACTACTTGGACAAGTACGAATGGTTTATGAGAGCAGATGACGATGTTTACATCAAAGGAGATCGTCTGGAAAATTTCCTGAGGAGTTTGAATAGCAGTGAACCCCTCTTTCTTGGGCAGACAGGACTGGGCACCACAGGAGAAATGGGAAAACTGGCCCTGGAGCCCGGCGAGAACTTCTGCATGGGGGGGCCCGGCGTGATCATGAGCCGGGAGGTTCTGCGGAGGATGGTGCCACACATCGGAAAGTGCCTCCGGGAGATGTACACCACCCACGAGGACGTGGAGGTGGGGAGATGCGTGCGGAGGTTTGCGGGGGTCCAGTGCGTCTGGTCATACGAGGTGAGAGCAGAGACAGAGCTGCTTATTTTATCTGATTAACCTACTGTGAGAAACGAGTGACAGTGTCCTCTGCCGAGGGTAAAGCTGGCGTGGAAGGGATGAGTCTTGATTTTGAGGAGCCCTTCTTTCTGTCTTTCCTCTTTGCTTTTACAACATACTCTCTATACTTTGTTCTGTTTTAGTCAATAAGTGAGTAGCATTTGAGGTTCAAAGAAAAGATTCCGCTTGCTGAAAGTCACAGCAGTTGTTTCCATGACTGATTATCCAGCATGTTCATCCTGACACCTGCTGACCCACGGAGGTGTCCACGAGAGCGTGGGAGGTCCTGTCCGCGTAGGCCATACACCTGAATTTCCTCACCACGTCAGGCTGACCACGCAGTTCAGAGGCTGGCGAGCTGAATTCCCAGAATGAGTAGTGATGGGAAAGAAAAGGCCAGTGGTGTGGGTTTCACGCCTGTGTGAAGCCTTGACTTCAGCAGTTACTGTTGAGTTTGCAGTGCGGTGGCTCAGCACACTGGCAGACAGCCTGGGCTCCCGGGACACAGAAGTGCAGCTCTTCCAACTGCCCTGATCGGTCGATGCTCTCTCTTTCTTGGTTCTAGGGTGCGTGACTAACGTTTGCCTTCTCTGTTTTTGTTGGCAGATGTGTGCCTCTTCGCCTGCAGTTGCTGGGTCTGATATTAGTCAGGGTGGAAAAAGTTGTGTGGTGTTTAGATCAATAAACTACTGATAGTTGTTAGAGGCAGAGGGAACTGCCAGGCTTTTTGCTCAAGGAAAAAAATCACTCATGTAAATGGTTAGCTTTTCTTCAGAATTAATTCTCTAAAGTGTTTGAGTGAAGGAACAGTGTTCTTGCCTGTACTTGCCTTCTCTCCAAACTTGCTTTTAAATACCTCCTAATCACCCTATTTCTTTTGTTTGAACTTTTAGGGAGGTAGACATTTTCAGCTACACAGGAAGTGGTTTTCATGTAATTTCTAATTATAAAAGATGTATTTTAAATTGCAACGTAATCTGAATGAACCCTCTAATCTCTGAGTACCTCCCTTTCCCCTCAACCCCAGGGCAGCTTGCTGGCTCTAGGGAGGATCCGTTGTCATGGATTTTTGCGGCAGGCAAACTGGGGATTTCCATACAGTTTTAGGCAGGCTGAGTTCTTCGTCTTTCAGTGGTTGTACCTTGTTTCATTGTGGTTAAAATATTCCTTGTGCATTTTGGCATGCTCTGAATGCCTGTCTCCGGGAACCTGGCCTCTCTGCTGGCATCAGAAAGGAGATGCCTGCCTTTGCCAGTTACAACCAACTCTGTCTTTGCTGTTGTGTGCCCAAGGCAGCTTGTGCTCTGCTGTCCACAGCAGCTGAGCCAGTATCTTGAGTTGATCAAGAACCGCCATGTTGCCGGGAGCTAGTTAGACACTACTGTCCTGGGGCTGCAGGGCCTCGGAGGCCAGATTCAGGCTCTTGCCCCTACAGAATAGTCCCCAAAACTTTCTAAGGCCCGAAGCAAGGGCACCATATAATCATCTTGTCTAGATCCTTGGAGGGCAGCTGAGGCTTGCCGCATCGGGTCAGTGACCCGATCAGCCAAAGGGCTGTGATGGGAGGTGGATTCCACCTCTTGTCCCTGCCTAAGGCCTTTTCCCTGTTTCTTGTTTGTTTGTTTCCTTACCTGCCGGAAGTCAGCTGAGCTTTCCCCAGATCCTGTGCTCCCAGAGGTGGTACAGTCAGCCCTCCTTTGGCTGGAAACTATCTTTTCCCAGAATGCAACTTGTCTTTTCACCTTAGTTGTGGCATTTTTATTATATGCAAAATGTGAATTTCAGTGTAGTCTTAATTTTTCAGTCTTTTCCTGCCATGGTTTTTGTGCATTAAGAAATACTTTTCTTCTTTGGATCAAAAGGATTTTCTATATATTTTTCTGTGAGTCTAAGGTTTTGCCTTTCATGTGTCACCTTTCAACATTTTTTAGGAATTCTATCTCTTAGAACAGTTACCTATTTTAGAAGGCCTTTGATTTATTTGCATTTTTCTCTTTTTCTATCTGACTTAAAGTGCTTCTAACCAAAGTCATTATTAGGATTTATCTTCAGATGAGGTTAATCCCTCATGTGGATGAGGAACTTCTATTAAACTTCTTTAAATCTAGTTTCTTGATTAAGTCACATTATGAGAAATTATTGAGGTGGAGTCTTTTAGTAAAGACAATTATGTTAAGCTTTAAGTCTTGGAAAGTACTTATTTAGCTCTATTATAAACCTAGCCAGATGGTGTAATTTTTTTTTTTGAAGTAGAAATAATGCCTTGGGATTATACTAATATAGTTAAAATGACTCATGAGGAACACAACTGTCCAAATCAAAATCTAGATTCATTCCTAAGCTTGTTTTGATTATTATTGGTGGTTATTTATTAACACATGACAATGTAAATTTTTATTTGGAAATTAATTTCACAGAAATCTTTTAAAGGTACCGAAAAATGCATGATTTTATGCCTCGATTCACCTGTGGTTGACTTTTCACTCCATTTGTGTTATAGGAGCTGTTGCGTGCCTACACGCAGACATAGCTCCCACCTCCAAAAAGAGTAATTGACATTGTGACTCTTTAAATTACTGATGGATTTGGACTAAGACTAAGGAACTTCTCTTATTGAGAAATTTTAAAAATTAGTTTTTCTTAGGCAAATAAAATGTGATAGTGCTCTTTTAACAAGAGGGGGTGAAAAGAAAGTTGATCTAACTTCCTGTGTATTGGTTGTGACTGTTGAAGGACATATCAGCCTTGGGAAAGGGCACAGGTCACACAGCGCAGCAGGTTTTCACAAACTGAGCACAGCTGGGTGACCAGTATCCAGATCTTTCTTTCATTAATTTAAGTCAATGTTTGGGAGTAAAAGTGTTTGGGTAGGAAATAATCACTAATAATGGAAGTTGGAGGTAGGCATAGACGGACTTGGGAATTTTTAAAAACCACAGGGACGCCCCCCACTTCTGTCTCCCAGCACTGGGCCACCCCACCAGCCGCCTGCCGCGTGCACATCTGACCCGCCCACGCGCCTGGCCCCTGCCACATGCTGTGGGACTTGTGTTCTCTTGTGCACGTGGGAGATTCTCCACTTGATACTTGAAGAGCTTTATCCTTCTTAATGAACGTTTGGGCTTTTTCAGTTCTGAGCAGTATTTCATTTTTTTATTGAGGTATAATTGGTATATTACACGTTTGTTTCACATGTACTAACTTAATATTTGTATATGCTGTGAAGTGATCACAAGTCTGGTCCGTGTTCATCACCACACATATTTAATTTTTTTTCTGGTAATAAAAATGCTCAAAATTGCTCTTTTAGCAGCCCTCAAATATGCAGTGCAGTATTGTCTGTGGTCACCCTGTTGTACATTAGATCCCCATGACTTACTAATTTCATCACTGGGAGTTTGTACCTGTGACTCCTTCTCCCATTTAACTCAGCGTTTCCCACCCTTTCATATCATGGTGCAGACACTTGAGGCATTGGCCCCCCAAAGGCTTTACCACCCAACTGCTAACCTCTTCTACCTGCCCTAAACCTGAAGGGTTATTTTGACATATGTGAGACATGCCAGCTGTGATACAGAGTTGCCAGCGAGGATTTGCTAAAGGATTATGAAGGCCCTCCCATCACTGCCCTCTGCACTGGTAGGAAATTGTCAACGAAGAATGGTCTTATTTTCCTCCCTTATGCACCTAATTCCTGTTAAGGAGATAAAAGATGTTCATGAAATAGTTGAGAAAAAGTAAAACATTGTGATACTAAGTATAAAGCAGTGCAAGGAAGCAAAGATCAGTGGTGGTCTTTTTAGGAGAAGCCAGTCCTCAAGAGAAGTGGAGTTTACAGCAAAATACAGAGAGAGATCTTCCTTGGCAGCCTGACTGGCCTACAATGTGATGATGAACAGTCTTATCAGAAGCCTTTCCCCTTTAGTAACAGAAGAAATAATGTTTCTTAACTGTTGGTTTTCATGAGCGGATTTGTGTTTCGGTGATGCCTCTCCTGCAGGCTGCCACGAACCACACAGCCCCTTAGATGCCTACAATAGATGCCCTGAAGACTTAGCGCTGAGGTGCCGTGTCTTCAGGGTCCTGTTCTGAGCCTCACTCTCTGGTTCTACAAGTTTGGTGGTTCAAGTTTCCAAGTTCCCAATAGAATGAAAGGATAAATTAGCACCCCAAAGTGGGGACTGCAATGAAAGAGTGTGGTAAGCAGGGAGTGGAAGGAAGAACATGAGGGAAAGTAAGAGGTAAGAGAAAGTGAGACTGATCCGCAGAGGGGCTGAGACCGGCCTCTGTGGCTGACTTCATGTCGTATGATTGGAAGAACATATTTCAGTTTTTTATATTTGTTGAGACTTTTTGGAGGCCTAAAATGTGTTTACCCCTTAGAGATGTTAATTTCAGTGAACGATCTTCAGGGTTGCTAATTCTTTCTTCTGCCTTTTCAAAGCAGTTCTTTGCACTGTATACATCTCAAATTTCTTGTTGGAAAAGGAACATTTAAGTGATACATGAGGGCAACTGCAAAAGTCAGATTTTGCCCCCTCCCCAGGGCTTGTTTGCTGTCTAAAAAAGAGGTGTTTTTTTTTTTGGTGAAGCCTTAGAACTGATTCTGTGATGTGTGTGTGTGTGTGTGTGTGTGTGTCCATTAAACTTTAATTTTGGTTTGTTTAATGGTCAGCTGGTGGCTGGACAGGGATGTCAGGAGCCAAGAATCTTCCATTCTTTCTCTGCTGCGGCTTGCCTTCATTATTGGCTTTGCGCTTTTCAAGATGAACCATTCATGAGAATTTGGGTTCCTTCTGGTCTTTCCTGGGTGTATGCTGAACCCCACATGGTCATCATTCCCCAACTTTTCTTTTTAAACTTTTTTGGTCTGTCTGTGCTTTGTTTCAACTACCTCAAGCAACATGATATTTGACAGTTGCCGGTGACTGTGTTAAGCAAATACTCCCTCTTCCCCCCAC